GTTAGCTGGAGGATCACCCCTTATCTGCTGTCCGCGACTCTTATTCAATATATTCGCAGCTGCCTTCCATACCTAGAGGCTGTCTCCTATGTCTGCAACCTGGGATACTATTAAAACGGATCTGAAATAGTATGGACTGGATTGACCGGGCTCAGGATAGGGACCAATGGATGGCCATTGTGAACACGGTAATGAACCTTCGGGTTGCATAAATTGCTGGAAGCTCTTCAGTATCTGCACAAATGGCGGATTCTCAAGAAGGGCTCACCTTCATGAAGTGTAGATTTTTCTAAGTTAGGGTCTACCTTAGACACTGACAGAGTCGCAAATCCGGACACACTCTACATCTACCTTTCGGGCTGTATTGAAGTTTATTATGGATAGATGTGCTCGCTGAATCACAGTCCACGTACACCAGCTGTCAAAACGAACATTTTCCTTCCATTCTGTAAGTGGAAGATATAAGAAACAGTTGTGCTTACCGCAGAACTCGTGATTCCTGTCCGACTTTTTATTTTTCTCTTAGGGAGAAAGCAAGAGAAACACGTTTCTCAGACAGCCGACGAGAGATGGATCAATGCTCACCCGTTCAGCCCTGCCTCAGTCGAAACCAACAGTGCTACCTCCGTTATCATCATGGGACTTACTCTCAAGGTAGTAACGCTCAAGAATGCTATCGTGTAGGATGTGATACTGTATCATCTGGCAGAAGTCTAATGACATATCGGAGGCTCGTTCTTCCTCTATCTTCAGAAGTCGGAAATTAAGCCAAATGAACAACAGCAAGTAGAGTTCTGCATATTGGTTGATTTGCTTACTCTCTGATCTTGAAGATGATAGGAATACACTCCTCCGAAACATCGGTAATATTCTGCCAGACTACACGGCATTACTTTCTACAAGTTGGTAATCTTTAATCACTATTGTTTTTCGAATAACAGAATTACGAAGAACTGCATAATGAGGAGCTTCACAACTTGTACCTCTTCTCCAAGTATAATTAGAATGATCAAGTTAAGATTATTGAGATGGGAAGGGCATATAGCACGAATGGAGAACAGGAATGCATATAAGATATTGGCGGGAAAGCCAGAAAGAAAGAGACCACTGGGAAGAATAAGACATAGGTGGGTGGACAATATTAATATTGATCTTAGAGAGATAGGATGGGATGGATTGGATTGATCTGGATCAGGATAGGTAGTAGTACAGTGCTATTGTGAACACGGTAATGAACATTCGGGTTCCATAAAATGCTGGGAATTACTTGAGTAGCGGCTACAAGTTTCTCACAGTAGTGACCATGAATATTACCGCGCTATGCTGTTTGGTAGATCATTTCAATTGTTTCAGAGGAATCTACTCCTTCCATCTTCAGGGTACATAAGACTCCTCTGTTTTTGAAGATAATGACAATATAGTATCTTCCTAAGTTAACTACTGCATTAACTTACCGCTACCAGGAATCGAAGACCGATTCCACAGCCGCCCATCGCCTAGCTCCTGCTCTTCCAGATACAAATTAAAACTGGTCTGTGTAGAAGGTCGCGACCTGTGCCTGTCTATTGAGATGAAGCCTGCTTGAACATTCTTATACTCCCCAGCTTCTACGTTGCATGGAGGCTTCTGGAAATAAATGGCTTCCAGCGCCGACACCTTTCTATCGTTTGTTGCCAAGAACTTGGTGCGGTCTTCGTAAAGTAGAAAATAGTAGTTTCAGTAAAAGGAAAGCAATATTTTTGAATATTGACAAAACTGTGAAAGTGTGTGGATGACATTTCGCGGGCATGGGGTGCCGCAGCCACAGCTTCTGGAGAAATGGATGGAGGGGCTGTTGTCGCGAGTTTCTCTTCTCCTGCTTTGGTATATTTTTCGGTTCTCATCCTTACACATTCATCCTCCTGCACTCTTAACGTTTCCGCTTCTCGTGCTTTGTTTCTACCCATCGTTTTCTTTCTAGCTCTATTCGATTTTAATTCCTCCATACGAGATGATGCATAAATTAAAATTCTACATGTTCTACGTTGAGTATTCTTATATCCGTCGACAAAATAATTTGTTATAAAAATATACAAATATATTTACATTAAAATCTTAAAAGCATGACACGTTTCGACCCTTATTTAATCATCATCAGGTGTATTGTTTGTTCTTAGGAGCTGAATTTATTTATAATATTAATCCATATTTAGTATGAGTATATAACACGTGATAATAGATTTGTAACAGAACTCTTGGTATTATCTACATTTTAGACTAATTATACTGGTATTAAATATAAATAGTTAAAATAAGTGTATATCTAGTTGAAGGTTACATTAGTTTGAAATCAAGCTTAAATTATGAGATAACATAAAGTAATAATCTTTATTTTATATATTCAGTCGTCAACGCAACTAATATTTATTAATTTAAACCACACTACATGTTTCGACCCTTAAAGGGGCCTCTTCAGGTAGTCTTAATTACAAGATTAATTATTGAATTGTAACGCATTATTAATTATATTCATGTAACATGATGCAAAAAATTAAAAACAGAGAACGTAAAAATTGTACATGTTTTGCTTGCCGATTCCTTATTGCTGGTTCCTTGCTTGGTTTATCTTCTACCCTGAAGAGTACATCGCTCCGAAACGTGCCTAAACTTCTGCCGGGTACACAGCGTCAAAGTATTTACAGTCACCCTGTGAGAAGTGAAATTCAAGCTACTCCTACATTGACATTTAAAATAAGAGACGCGTGTGAACGTTACTCGCATTATTCTGCAACCTGCCACACTTCTGTGTTGGATTTGTGGTTCTCACAGTCCTGACTACAGTAGTATCTCTTCTTATGTAAAGACAGACGTCTCGCACTAACGTAGTGTTTCTTCTTCAGCCTCAAAGGGTAAACCATATAAGAAGCCAATATGGAGGAGGGCGTAAGCAGAGTGAAATATCGATGGACTTCTACCGGACTATACCGCATCATTCTCCACAAGACAATAATCTTCATACCACTCTTCTCTTCAGCTGTATTTATCAGCCACCTTTTAACTCCCTGTCAACTTTCATATTATTCTTATGCGTGATTTCGTGATTTTTCCTCCCCCACTCAGTGCTATATTTCCTTTTCTTCTTTGTGGAATGTTCAGTTTCTTCGTCAGACTGTTTCACCCCTTACCATATGCACAAGCACAGGCAAATTATGACTCAAATTTCCAACTTCTTTGTACACAGACGTAAATACCCCACGAGCTTGCTTCGGGAAGTGTTTGTCTACAACGCCGAGAAGCCCGAGCTCACAGCGAAATAAAACGTGGATGCGGATAACTCACACACATGTATGAGTGTCTAGGAGATTCCGTATTCCGTATTGAGGGGGTGGGTTTCCCCACGCACTTAGACCGGTTACTGGTCCATTGTGCGTCCCCCTTTAATTTCTACTCTCTCCATACCCTACCGGTACTGGTGCTTACTATCAGCCCCTTTCTGCCAGCGAGGTTCCAACCTCTTACTGGCAGTGGTATCTAATAGTTAGTCCCTTTCTGTCAGCGAGGTCGTCCCTCCTCTGGCAGGGGTTCCTAGTCCCTTTCTGCCAGCAAGGTTTCTACCCTCTACTTGGCAGTGGTATCTAATACTTTAGTCCCTTTCTGTCAGAGAGGTCCCCCCTCCTCTGGCAGTGGTACCTGATACTTCCCCCATCTACTGGAGGAATTGGAAACTAGTTGGGCGGGAAACTTGGCCTAATTTTGCTCAGAGGTCTCCTAGAGACATGAGGTTCTTTTACGTGCCGTAAATCTACGAAACAGGACCCACGGCTTAAAGTCCCTCCCGGAGGACTTGTTCCCTTAATTTTTCCGCCCTTAAAAATTCCACGACCTCCGTCGGGTTTTTGAACCCGCGTACCTTGAGTGTCTAGAATATAGTATTGCTGGAAATGTTCAGAATGTGAGATGTATATTGATTACTGAAGACATTTAGATCCACGATATATCGATAATTGATATCCTCCTAACCAGTACAGTATCTAAGCTACCGCAAATTGTCACCACAGTATGGAGTATACAGAAGTGGAAGTATAGCTCCACGTAACCTTGGCACTAGATGGGCTTCACGCCCCGTTTGCTCTATTAACAGGAAGATTACTTCTGGTACATAGTGGCGAGTAGGCTGGTGGGGCTCCAGAGCCAATAAGAATATTGTGGAGAAGAGAAAATCAGCTTCCCTTGCCTGGAATCGAAATCCTACTCGCCTATCGTCAAGCCATTAGGCTAATCACTATACAACTTGAACTATCCCAGCTCCATCTCAGCCACAGTTCTGGGCTTGCAATTATGCATTCAATATGTCCCACGAAATTCCTTCGAAGCGCCACGAGGTTATTAGTTTGGGTCTTTTAATTAAAACCACTTGTCGATATGGGCAGAATAAAAGACACCACTAGGAAGACTTAGATATAAGTGAGTGGATAATATTAAAATTGATCTTAGAGTGATAGGATGGGATGGAAAGGACTGGAGTGATCAGGCTCAGGATAAGAGACGGCTCTTGTGAATTCGGTAATGAACCTTCGGGTTCCATGACATTTTGAGAAATTCTTGAGTAATTGCGTAACTGGATGTTATTGGAGATAACTATCAACATTGGCCATTTTCAACTGTTACCCAGCTATGGCTTGAAATTTATGAAACGCAAAGAATTGCCTTTCATACACCTTCATGTAAATTCCTTCTGTGAGTAGTATCTATTGCTTGGTATTTCTCTTGATAAGCCAACTTCTTGATGTATCCTCAAAGAAAAGACTCAAGGGATTTGAAGTACGGTGAACGAAGGGGCCAACGCTGCTTCCCTCAAGACCCGTTCAATAGTATCCACTGAAGCGATTCAAGTGATCTGCTTCTTATTGACGTAACGAAGGAGCTCACTGTCGTATTGTAGCCCCATGTTTATTCTGACCGTAAGATGGGCCATGAGCAATCGGGCTTTATGCTAGTTTAAGTTAAGAAAAACAACGAGATATTTACTAATTCCCAACCTTTATTTCTGTTAATATTACTTCTCTTGACAATGTATATGAGTGTATTTATTACATTGTACTTGCAACATATAAGACAAACGCATTCACAAATGAACATAAAAATAAACACACACACCATGTTTAACTTTCGATGTTCACGTTTTGTTATTGTTCTTCTAGTCTCTCATACATAGAGAACTCAACATTTAGCTCTTTGTCACAACAGGTGGAAGAGCGGATTTGATCTGTATTGTCCTACGGATCTTCGTAAGACGTGAGGACACTCTTCTAGTGTTTTAAAACCTCCAGACCAAAATATAACTAAATCCTAACAAATATTTCCTCTCATGTTTAAACTCGTGTGTGGGTGAATATAGGTATTTATTCTATGTATAATACATGACAAAGTTACAATACAATATTATTTACATATAGGACTAATACAATTGTTCAAGCCGCTTCTGTTCAAACGGCTGCATGATTGAGCATCGACCTTATATGTACACACGAAACATGCCTGGTGTTAAGGATCATTTCGGAAAATCAACATATTGCAATTTGTTATCATATGATTAAAATGTTCTATTGAACCTTCTTTCATCTCGCCAAATCTGCAGCATAATACTACAGAAAATGGTATGGAAACACAGGGGTTCTAATCGGATTGCAAGTAAAGTCAATATGTCTGAAATTTTGTCATGAAGGTGTACAACTGACACATATGACTGACATTTTCAATCCTCTTACTTTTATAAAGCCATTGATTCCCTTTGACGTCTGTGAGACGGCGTCCCGTAAAGGTTACAATAGTTGTTTTGTCGCTGTGAAACATCACCGTAATAAAGCAGAAATAGTTTACTTGTTTGAGGACCCATGTAGTAAATCTATGAACATACGGACGTCTAGTGATAAATCTGCGGAGATTGTTTTGAAGGGTATGGATTCATTTCGTGCACGTAATTTGAATGCAGCCCATAAAGAGTACAGCAACTGGTTAAAGAGTCACGAGGTTCTGAAGCTGGTTTTGTTTCCGTCATCAGGAAAAATATGAAACGTAATCCGTTAGGACCATTATAATAACCTAACCTTCCCAGACCGGGGATAGAGATTAGTTCCTTCTACTACATCCAGCAGAATATTTTTCATAATTCTACTTGATGACGGAAGCAGAGACTGCTTCAAAGCTCTTTGTTTCTTCAACCAAAATCAGAAGATGGAAAATGTCAGTTACGTGTGTCAGTGTATGTACAGTTAGTGTTCTTTTTTTCTGCTCCAAATCGTTCATAAGAACGAGTTTAACATGGAATTATAGTAAAACCTCATGGCATTTTAAGAAGTAAGAATAATTAAAAGGGGCGAAAATTTGACAGTTGACAAAAGGTGAGAAGTACCGGATTGAGATGCCTGGAGTTGCAGAAAATGATTTACGAGAGCTAAAATAGATGAGATGGAAGCAACAACAAATAATGCATAAGCATGAATATCTGTCCCTAAGGAGACCAAAGTTCTTTGAGGGTACTGGATACGTATAATGGGGAAACAAGTAAGGAAACCTTTAACTGAAATGTTGTGAAATTGTTGTGTTAAATTTTATATATTCAGTATACATCAGTAAATATTTGAAGTTCATTAATATTAAATATTATGTCTACTTTATGAAAGTGACTTCAAAATTTGTTGCATCAAATTGGTGATTAAAGAAACTACACCCCTTCCGTCCTCCAACTCACTGTCTCATTTTTATTTATCTTTAGGGCTCAAAAAAGAACATGGCTGAACTGAGATGTCTGAAATGTTACCACTACTGGAAGCCCCCAACTATACTTCTTGTTTCCTTTGGTATATTTTATGGCATCAAAAGATGAGATACTTTAAAGTTAGTTCTTTTAAATATGGTACAAAACTGAATTAATATTAAATATCTTAGAGATAGCAACACTATAAATATTACTAGGTCCTCATCAATATGGAACATGAGACACATTGGATATCTTGTTCTGTTATCACTTCTTGCACTATGTCAGCCGGTACACTTGGATTTCCATTTACACAACAATGCCTGTCCATTGCGCACTGCTTATTTCACTTTTAAACAATGAACGAAATATTTAAAAGTTTATCACCAGTTACTTCATTACATGCTTTACAAGAATAAATCATGCTATCTGGTGTTAAGGACGAGAAGTAGTGCCATACTCAGAATTACGATCAGTTTGACTGAAGATTCCATTCTGATTCCAAAATCTGTAAAAGAAAAATATATAAAGAGAAATTCAACAGTTTTCTCCGATATAATGATGTCACAGATACTAAAGTGTTTCACAGCTGTAAACTACATATGCACATTCGTCCACCATTTCTTTCTTAATCCTACGGGAGTCAAGTGGGGGAAGTTTCAACCTTTCAAAAAAATTGCTATATCTGAGAGCATGGAGATATCTGTTGGCATTTCATGTGACCTACATTCTGAAATAACATTTGACTTCCATTTCTCCAGATTTAAATTTCTGAAAGATATTTTATATATCATTTGCCACTGAAGGAAGAGCCATTCTGACGTCTTAAAACGGTGGAGAGGACTCTAGAAATTAAATAGAACCTTCTACAGTCAAATACTCGTATTTGGTTTAAATTCATGCACAATTCTGTATTTAAAATTGAAACGAATTTTTAAAGAATTGTAAGAGTTTTAATTTTTTGATATTCTATGCACTTTTACAGAAAGGCCTTAATTTGTTTTCAATGCACCGACATAAAACGTGCTATAAATATGCTCTGAAGTTTATTCATATACGTGTATAACCGAGTATTTACTCAAAGTAACACGATTCAATTTGACCATTTCAAACTAAAGAGAATTATACTAAGGCTGTTTGGGGATAAATGTAGTTGCCCAGAAAACCTTCAACACTTTCCTCAAATGACCTTGAAACGGCAAAAGAGGCATTGAATTTGGAAGCTCATTTTTCCTCTGTATATTGGTGTGTTGCATTTCATTCCATCTGTTCACAGATAAGTTATACTAACCGTTGAACAACGAGCCAATTTCTTCGGCTGTGATAGTTTCAATGCAAGTACAGTATGAGTCAAAATATACAGTATTGAAATGAAATAAGTCCTGTTGATACCACTTTCTATTCACGTGAAATCCCCTTGCACGACGGAACCTTCTCAAATCCTGAAGAAATTGTCCGATCACCATGTCCTTGTAGAGTTCTTGCGTGACGGTAAGAGCATTGCTTTCCTCATCCTCAATGGAATAGCGGCCTAATATACCGTGTGCTGGGACGGCACGCCATATCGTCACACGTGTACGATGTAGCGGTTTCTGGACGATAACATCTGGCCGCTCAAAACCAAGGAAGCGTGTTGTCTGACGACCACTTCCGTATGAGCAGAAATTATACTCAAATATGAATACTTTTTCCTCCGTCGAGAGACCCATTTCCAACAACTGCATAACACAACTTTCTTTTCACTACTGGGAACACGTGCGGCTGGAGCTATGCCCCGTCGACGAACGCACATGCGCTTTCGAGATGCGCGAGTTTCAGTACTGCATTTTTGGCGCATACTGTACCTTGAGCAAATCTAGCCGGTACATGGCATGCAGATGGTTAAAGTAGCACAAAAATCGTGATGTTTCACTCGCCAATGACGATGCCTAAATGCATCCAAATTATGAAATTGGTATCTCCAAATTTGTTAGTACATACGTGACAAATAAAATATATAATTGAATTACTAGAGGAAGAATAAAGTCTAACTTAGTGTAACGCTTGTTCAACAATTTCGGAAGATGATGTAAGGGTATATAACATTGTTTAGTGGCATGTCACGTTGTAAGGACCCTAAGTAAAATAGCAGATTGACATAAAGTTGAAAGTCGTCACAGACAACCGACAAAATGCAATATGAGACCTCGACATATCTTTGATGGGGACAGTGGAGAAAGACGAATCGAGACATCCATCCACCTCTGGGATTTGGAAAAAATAAGTAAATTAAATATTAACACCAAAATGAAAAGTACTTTTAAGGAAAAGACTATTCTTTTATATTGAATACTGCAGGGTGATTAGGAAGAATAGGCTTAAACGTAAATTTGTAATTAAATTCTCTGATCCTTCCTGTAAAAACTGACTACCTTCAAACCCTTGTCTCGCTGGTACCCATAAATAAACTTACAACGCAGAAATCAATTACAAAATACAGTACTCAGCAAGAAAAATTAACCATACGACCATATTTTGAAGAACGCATTCCGTAAAGCGGGTAGCGCGTTGTAATGGGTACACAAAATTGTACTTTACCGAGACTATGTGGGGCTGTGGGTCCCATGACCGGTGCAAGTTGAGGCGTGTCTTCAGTGAGCTCCAGCTCTTCACTACGGCGATACAGCGTGAAGATGGTGGCCAGACACCTGAGCCGAAGCCTTCCTTCCCTGAAAACTCCACTAGTAGCTTCAAGCTCCAGGCTCGTCTGTGATACCTCCATACCTCCAACTTCTTGTACGGTAGAGGGGTACACCACTGTGTGCTGTGAGTTCATGACCTGTAAACACGAGACATAGAAGTCAAGGTTTTCTTTTAAAAGATGACAGTCGCTCAACTAGTCAATAAATTTCTCGGCTTAATATAGAATGCAAAGAAGCATTAGCACATTCCCAGGAACCAGTCATTAGTCACTATCCTGTACTAGCTGAATTCAGTCGACGCCATTCCATCCTGTTTCTTTAGGAATCATTTTGATTTCGTAGACCTTCTTCTATGCAGTCGTCTGTTTCCTTCAGATCTTCGTGCTGGAACTCTATATTAATTTCTGTTCGTTTCCATTAGCTCTACATGTCGTCCTCCTTGCTGTGATCGTCCTAATACATGGTAAGGCCGTCCCTGTAACAGGCCGTGAAGGCCCAGGTATGTGTGAGGCTCCCGCATTTTCTAGAAAATAAACTCACATGTGGTATTGTGTTTGGCAGCTTTACGCGCCAAGTTATCCCTGTAACAAGTCTTGGAGGCCCATATGTTTGCTAGGCATTGAGGTTCCCAGATTTTCGAGACAACTGGACCACAGATGACGGCAAGGTTGTCAGCCTGACGCCCCGACTGCCCTTTACCCCCAGGATCCAAATATTGTCCATACACTCTCAGCTGACGTCCTTCACCTTCCCTTCACGTCACAGACCACGTATTTCCTATTCCCTTTCGTTAGTCATCAACACTGAGCACTATATTGTCTGAATTACTGAGAGTGTCGTTAAATAAACACTAAATCTTATACATGCATAAACATTTTTTGTCATTAGGCCGCGCCATAGCTCAAGTGGTTAGTCGCTGGCTTCCCATCGCGGTGGGCCGGGTTCGATCCCGGGTCTGCTCAAGTATGGTTTGTGGTGGACAAAGTAGCGCTGGGGCAGGTTTTCTCAGAGTACTTCGGTTTCTCCTGTCAACCTTCATTCCACCAAATTCTCCATCATCATAATCACCTGGGGCAGGCTACAATAGACCAATCAGTGACCGCCGTGTCGAGTGGACCCAGTTGGACTCCAACCCCCACTAGTGAATTTATTGTTGTCAATATGCAAGTTCAGGTTACCACAGCAACAAATTGTCGAGCAATAACACCTTTCATGAACGTAAAGGGAATTACATCAGCAAGTAGAGAGCAGAATTTTGTTTCAGATTATCGTGTCTATCCTGTGATTGTTGATTATATTTTGATGTCGATGTATGAAGTGTAGTATACTATACGAAAGGGAGTTTTACGATTGAATATTTGTACCTGTGATTCGTGGGAGATGGTGTCAGCCTTGGAACAACATTCGACAACATGTAGTGAAGGGATATTTATGATGGTAGGAAATCTTAATAGATATATTATGATAAGTCATGTTGAATTCTCAACAGGTAATACACTAGTACAAAAAGATATTGCTTCTCTCATCTAAAATAAACGAAAGGAAATTTTGTTTAATTCAAAATGAATTGAAATATATTTCTGTACACAGTCATATACAAGTACACACTTCTGTCTTCGTCTCGCTGTTTTCAAATTTGGGGTGTTGCTACGGTTTGAATTAACGCGTCATTAGCTTTGGGCAAACAAAGTAGTGGTCCTGTAATCTCGACCTTCCCTCAAAATGGACGATTCATTCATTAATGAGAGCACCAGAACAGACAGACAGACAGGCAGACAGAGATGCAGGGTGTCTTGTTGATTAGGTATACATGGCCACTTTGCTGATTTATGGTCCACCAGTTAATGTATCATGTATATGCCGTGTTAATCTGACCGATTTCCCGCCCGCCTACGGATCTCAACTTCCCCACTCAACTCACAAACAACCTCCCCACTTCAGGCAAATAACAAAGCGCAGTTTCAGTTCAGATGAGTCGGGATAGGCGAATCTGTTGAAATCTCGTTTGGAATCGTGTTATAACGCTTATTTTGCTGATATGGTGTCAATGTTATAGGGGTAACCCAAGTATGTTTCTGCCTTCCGACACAGTTTCGTGATATTCCAATTTTAACATGAATAATAACAGGGAGATACCTGTAATGATTTGATGTGACACACAAAGGAAATTAGGTGTATGTATGTAACGTTTGAACATGACATTATTCCAGATTAATTTAAATTGTCCATTCAAAATTAACCATAGGAAATACTATATGTGTATGGGATATATGTTATATATATGTATGTTACCGCAGTAGCTATTAATTACAAAATATATCTATTGGTAATTGTAACACAGTAATTAAAGCAGTACGTACAAACAGTGACGAAAGCATTTGGAAAATAGTTGAAATGAAAGTTACAGCCTAATAAGATATAGTTTGATATACACAGAATGTCCCAGGAGGAAAGATCAATATTCTTGGGGGTCATGGCATCGGTCATTCTAAACTGAAATGTGTATATTTACACGTCTCCTATTCCGAATGGTTTCCAAGACAGAGCTATTTCACTGTGCAGTACACTGTACACTGTACAGATGAACAACACGCCATGTCCTCACACGAGTTGCACCGAGATAGAGCTATTTCACTGCACAGTACACTGTACACGCTCTACACTGTACAGACGAGCAACACGCCATGTAGCGGCCTCCGTAGTCTAGAGGTAACGTTCCCACCTCATGACTCGTTTGTACGCGGGTTCAAATACCCGGCGGAGGTCGTCGAATTTTTAAGGGCGGAAAAATTCAGGGAACAAGTCCTCCGGGAGGGACTTTAAGCCGTGGATCCCGTGTCGTAGCTTTACGGCACGTAAAAGAACCTCATACCTCCAAAGGAGGTCACTGAGCAAAATTGCGGACGTTTCCCGCCCGACAGCAGTCACTAATACCTCCGGTAGATGGGGGAAGCATTATAGATACTTCTCAGCCAGTAGAGCCGGTCTCGCTGGCTGGGCGGGACTGATGGTAAGCACCAATACCGGTAGGATATAGAGGCTGGTAGAAATATAGACGGAAGCACAATGGACCACTACAGGTCTAAGTGCATGGGGAAACCCACCCTCTCTAATAACTAACTAACTAACATGCCATGTCCTCACACGAGTTGCACCGAAATAGAGCTCTTTCACTGTTCAGTACACTGTACATTGTACAGAGGAGCAACACAACATGTCCTTACACGAGTTGCAAAGTGCATTGATGTTGAGGGCAGAACTATCGAAAATGTATTATATTAGGTAAACTGTACCAACTGTCACTTTAGCAATAAATACCGGTATTAGAAACAGTATGGAACATTTCTTTCTTATTAACAATTTGGAACTATGCAGTGAAATCACTCAACCTCGGAAACCGTTCGGGATAAGTCACATGTACATATACTATGACCTCCCAGACATTCTGTATAGTTCATTAGTTTCAGGTTAACTACCCATCATCATCATCATCATCATCATCATCATCATCATCATCATCATCATCATAAATGTTACACGGAAAGGGCTGGTCTAGTGATGAGGCTCTAGACTAGTATTTAGGATGTATCCGGTTAGAATCTCAGCCACGGCACCGGCAATTGTAATTGAGATTATGCGTGGCTTTCCCCAGTCACTTGATGAAAATGCCGAGACAGTATCTCGGCTAGGCCAAGATCTGTTCCTTCCGGATCCTTTCCCATCTTTCCATCATCATAATATTGGGCCCTGATTAATAAAACTCTTGACGGCTTCGTAAAATTCGCCCTCAAGGAAAATTATTGTATCCAGGTGATGAGAATTCACGTTTTACTACAATTTATTAATTACATGTATAACTGAGGGAAGCAAATACTGTCTATACTAAACTAAACTAAACAAAAATCCGTGTCTTGAGTCCACAAGCGAACTATACAGACCGAGCGACCGCTGCTTGTCGGCGAAGTTGGTGACAATTTTTATGGATAGAGGGTGTGGCGTGGTCAGCGAAACGAAACCCCACGGCCGTTAATTTCGGTTTTCTAGACCGGAGCGCTATTTCCTTGAAATAGCTCCTCAATTATCTTCATGAGGATGAGTTTACCCCGTTCCAGACCCACTACTTCTCAGAAAATGTAGTAGCACCAGGAATCGAACCCGGACCTCTGGATGTGTAACCAGGAACTCTGACCATTAGACCACATAAAATATTTTCTATATAGTCGCCATAATTGTTAATTAACTTATTATGCTCCAGTTTGAAAATAGACGTAAGCATATGAAAGTCAATATTTAAGTGGATCTCAATTAAATAAGGTCTGCGAATATGAACAGTGTCAACTGGTTCAGGATAGGAACCCATAGGGATAATTGTGAACCTTCAGTTTCTAAAAAAAGTTCTGGTAAATTACTGGCCAGCTAAGAGCTCATAATTTTGTCAGAAAGCTCTCTACTCCATGCAAGTAATTACAGTTCAATAAAAATTATTTATATTGTGACATGATGCCTGAAGACGGAATAGCAGAGTCAGAGTAGACGTTCACGGCCTGGCAACGACTTCATAAACAGGTTCCTTCGGAAATGAACAAGCACGAAACAATAGAATAACTGAAGCTTATAGGCAACTGCGAGGTAAACACGCCTCTACAACAATAGAGAAATAATCAGAAAAATGTCCTTTCCCTTGGATCCACCTCGAGGTTACAACGCGGAGGCGGGTTCGAATCCCTCCATAAACTTCCGTACGTAGAGGATTACAGTGCAGGCAACAAGGAGAAATCGTACGAACTCATGAAAATGTAGATGTTCGCAACATTGGACTAGGAGAACACCGACACAGGATACAAGAGGCTTAAACTTGGCGGCGGTCAAGCATACGACCGTTCAAGTGACTAGACTGTCGTTGTAGCCGAAGCTACTAATGAATGGGCATGATCTGCTGTATTGAGTCTGGACTGACAGTAGATTTATTACTGCTTACTGTGAATCTGTGGCCGCGCCATAGCTCAAGCGGCTAGTCGCTGGCTTCCACCTCGGCGGTCCGGGTTCGATCCCGGGTCTGCTCAAGTGGGATTTGTGGTGGACAAAGTGGCGCTGGGGCAAGTTTCCTCCGAGTACTTCGGTTTCCCCTACCAATCTT